ACCCTGGGCTTTACTCCCTATGAAATCATGTTTGGCAGGCCACCCCCTATCATTCCTAACCTTAAAGCTGACTTTCTTGCTGAATTTGAAAATCAAGAACTATCTCTTTCCTTGAGAGGGCTCCAGAGGGCGCACAAGGACATTTGGCCGTGCCTCCGTGCCATCTACGAGACCGGCCCAACCCCAACTCCTCATCAGCACAGACCAGGAGATTGGGTCTACGTCAGAAGGCACCGCCGGGAGACCCTCGAGCCACGTTGGAAGGCTCCCTACACTGTGGTGCTGACGACCCCCACCGCTCTCAAGGTAGACAGGGTCTCGACCTGGGTCCATCACACTCACGTCAGGTCAGCGGACCCATCCGTGATCCAGGAAGACTTTGTCACCAAATGGAGCGTCGATCGAGATCAACGCAACCCGCTCAAGCTCAAGCTACGGCGTGCTCAACCTGTCTGATGCTGGTAACCTTGCTTGCGATCACTCCTGCTACCGGGAGCCCCCACAATACTGTATAATAGACTTAGATAATGTCTGCATCTTCATCAACATGGCTCCAAAGAGACAAGGACAATTTATAGGAAGGTCAAGAATAGACTTTAGTAGCAGAAGATATGGCTGCCTGAAGTGGCCATGATGCCAATATTATGTTTCATTGTATTGATATGTTATATTGACCTTTGATTCTCTTGCAGGTTTGAATGTATGTTGGCTGTCCTGGAAGGGAACTGTGTGGGGTGAACCCCAAGAGTAGAGGGTGTCTGGCTGCCAAGAGGGCAGGTGCCCAACTGGGCAGGGAAGGGTGCCCATCAGGTTTTGGTCTCTGTTGAGAGACAGTTGACGGTTGGCAGCCTGTATACTATCTTGCAGGCCTGCGTGACCATGCCCATGTCAGGGGTAGTACAAACCTCAACTGTAGAAAGCTGGGAAAGGCCTGTTTAGAATAGAAGGTCTGAGGCATGGTTATGCATAGAAAGAAGGTTTTATGCCAACAGTTACTGTTTTGTTATAAATCCATGAAAAGGAATTGGCAAGGAAAGTCAGAAAATCTTAGAGTAGATCAGTATGTTTTTCTCCTTATGTAATTCCTCCGAATCTGGCAATGCTAAATAAGTCATGGCAACACATTTCTTTGCATAGATTCAATAAGACTGGTTCCTAATAGTGGTTTTATTAATGGAAAACTTTGACTGGAGTATCATGTTTTAAAGAGCCCTGTCTGAG